GAATGAAGAAAAGAAAAAAAAAAAAAGAGAAAAAAAAAGGGGTGGGGGGTGGGGGGGGGGGGGGAAAGATGTGGTTTTTAAACATTTTTAGAAACAAAAACTAAAATGTGTGGAATGCATTTGCCTTAACTCTAAATAAAAACTCAGTTCAAACTGCATCTTTCTGTAGCATTTTCCTTCTGCTTCCCATTAACACCACACTTTGTGTTGGTTCAAAGCAGAAAATCCCCATAGAATACACTGAGGTTTCTTGTAAGGAGAGAAATAATAATTTTAAAACATGTTTACTGGGGGGATGAATACTTTTCCAGAGCTCAATCTGTGTTTTACGACTAGATAAAGCTCTGGTTCACTGTGTGCTGACTACAAAGTGTGATGTTTACAGGAAGGACTACGTGCCACACTGAGTCACAGGACAGCGCTGAGGCACTGAAACAGAAAGTCCCCGGTAGTGTTTTCCCCTTCCAACCGAATCATAAAGCGAAAGCTACAAACACATCTGAAATGTTCTAAGTTCATTCTGTAATGGTGATGATTTTCCAGACATAATGTGGTTTCACTGTGGTAATGAGTGAAAAAACATCATCTGAGTTTAAGGAAATAAATAAATCTTTACCTAAGGCGAAACATTGAGTCAATCAAGAACAAATCAAAATGCATTTTGATTATTTTATTAAGAAATTAAGCAAAGGAAATGAGCAATGACTCCCCTGGCTGGATCAGGGAAGTGAAGAAAAGATGAAAGTACATCGCTTTTAATATCCACTATCCCTCTACAAAGAGGGCAGACAAAGAGAGAGAGAGAGAGAGAGAGAGAGAGAGAGAGAGAGAGAGAGAGTGTTTCTCAGCTTATTTCACCACTCTGGAATTTGCACCTGCAGACTGCGACCTTGGACAGTTCAAACCAGAGAGGAAAACAACCTCCCAGAAACTCCTTATCTTCAGTCTTCCAGTAATTTAGCCAAAATTTTATTTGTATCAGTACATTATGTGCTTGTTCTCGCACATATAGCTAAATACTCTGACAGAGTGAAAATCTTGTAATAATCATCTTTGGAAGAGCGTCTTGCGTCTCTTTTGAACAAAGGCGACTGTCAAAATACTCCACAACACGCTCTGCAACATAAGCTACGAATACATAAGAACATAAAAGCAAAAGGGATTTCCATAATTTATTCAAACAAACAAATTATGGACTGTACTTCAGGTAAGCTAAAGACAGCACTACACACAAAGCGGTGAGGCTAACTAGGACATGCAGACGGATCACCAAGTACTTCACTCGGCACAGAAGCCATGGCAACAAGTTGCTCAGCAGCACAAACAGACATCTCGGTACTTTTACCCCAGCTTCGTTTCAAAATGATTTTCTGTCAAAAACTATAGAGACGTGATGATTTTAACCATAGAGGACGGTGATTTTTTTTTTTTTAATCTTTACATATTTCTTCAATTTCTGCTTTTCAGTCACACTTAGTGTTTCAGATTAACCAGAACATTTTAATATCAGAAAAAGATGAGCTCAGTGAACTCTGAATGCTGTTTTCAAATAATAATTATATTATAGGGGAAAAAACTACCAAACCAACCTGACTTCCTTAACTTTAGGGCTGCAACTAATGATTATTTCAGTTAGCGGTTATTCTGACAATTAATCAATTAATTTGATGAAACAATTTTCACATTTTGCTTATTTTTCTCTTTCCTTTTTTGTATACTATTAGAAATACATTAAAAGGTGCAAAAAACAGCAACAAACAATTCAACTCCCTTTAAAATAAGAAAATAAAAAATGTGTTGCCTAAAATGCGATGGCATTATGATCCTTCAGTGTTTGATCATTGGAAGCACAGGAAGAATCTGCAGCTAAAAGGTACTTCAAACATATGAAAAGCTCAGCACTTTGTGCTCAACATCAATGCATAGGATGGCTAATCTGTTGATTATTAATAGAAGATTTTTATAGAATTTGAACATTTGAATTTGAACATTTTCCATTTTAATCTTAAATGCAAAATGTATATACATGTATAGTACATTTTTGACTTAACAGCTCTAAGAATGTTTTTCTTTCAACAAATTGCCTTTATTTTGAGTTTGTTTACTTCAGTTAATTACTTGACAATTATTTAAGTAATCAATTAATCACAATTAATACAATTAATCGTTTCAGCCCTTTGTAATCTGAAACATGTACCGTAAGTGTGATTTTTTAAAAAGCAAAGAAAGAAGAACTATGCAAGGGCTGGAAATCATTTTCACAGAACTGCAGTTACAGCAAAAAATTTCCAGAAGCAGCTAAAAGCGTTTTTGTTGTTGTTGTTGTTGTTTTCTCTTAAATAAATTTCCCTTCAGCAAAGAAAACTCCTATGCAATCACTTCACTTTGACACATGCGTAGGCATAACTTGTTCCTTTCTGCACTTTGGTCATCATGTGACCAGCTGCTGAAAAGCTGGGATTCAACCTTGTAACGTTGGCTAAACTTCCTCCTAAAATCCTACTTATCTTTCTATTACGATCACAAGTAACTCATATTCTGCTTGTAAGAAGACGGATTTATTGCATACAGACTTAAATAATCCCTTAAACATCAGGAAAAGACACAGTGAGACATCAGAGTAACCATGACCACTGCCCCGCTCTTCTTCTTTTTATGGAAACGTGTCTTGTGGTGAGAGCTGCATCTGAAGGCGATGTGGAGAAGTGTTTGTGTGTGTAGTGGAGGCAACACAAGTGTGTGTCTGCGTGTGTGTATGCGTGTGTTTGCGTGGCGACCGCAGCATGAAGCGGTTTCAGGCTTTAGTTTTGAGAGGCGATGTGGTTAAAAGAGCTGGGTGCATTGTGGGTAAAGGAGATCTATGACCTCACAGGCATGGCGGCTGAGCGCGCACAGTGAAATGAGAGTGATTTTACCTTCAGCGTCCTTAACTGTCTCGATAGCTTCAATGGCCTCAATGGTAGCTGAAGGATGGCAAAAGAAGAGAGAGAAGGAATGACAGGAAGAGAGAGAGAGAGAGAGAAGACAGAATCCGGAGGAGAAGATGGCAAACAAAGAAAGAAGGAGGGGAAGGAAAACGAGGTGAAGGCTGAAACATGCTGTTGTGGATTTAAATATCTGCCTCAGGGCACAAAAAGAGTGTAGAAGAGACCACAGCTACACTCTAAAAAACAACTAAACTGGGTTTGTTAAATCACTTACTGTTTGTTACTGGTGGTTTGCTGATCTTACACAAAATAATTTGTTGAATGAATATAAAAAATAGATAAATTTTACTATATTGTAAGAGATCAATGTATGGGTTGAGGTTACAAAAAACTATTAGTGTTAGAGACACACCAGGAAACAGACTGACAAGAGGCTAAAAATGTTAAAATATCCAATCTTATTCAAGTCAGCTTACACTGAACTAAATAACTCTGTTCTGTGGATGAATGAAGTCAAACTTAACTATTTCCAGAATCAATTACGTTTTTTAAAATGAAGTCTGATGAAGCACTCACGCTGCAAGAGAGCAAGATTTTCAGCAGACAACATTAAGGCTGAACGTATAACAGTAAAGTATATTATTTCCTTTTGAGCTATCAGTTTCTGTATGCTAAAGAACATAATTCACTTGGAAATGTCAATTATCCCTCATGCCTGGTTCACACGGCAGGATAAATTAAATCGATCTCTCTTCCGAACGCCCCATCTGAGAATCTTAGAGATGATTTGATTATTGTAACGTATCTAAATATAATCTTAGGAGATATTCCTGCTGTGTGTGGTGTGTTGAGAGTGAGCCTGTTGACTGTGATGAGTATCTAATCAGAAAGCCAGAAACATGAAGGGGAATTCAAAATGGCACACCAGAAAGTCTGGTGGACATCTTTGTATTGTGTTTTTATCTGCTAAAAATAGACCCCAAACTACTGGCATTGCTTCTTCCTCGTCTGCCATGTTTGTTTAGTCTGAACTCATGTTTGGTCTCAAGAAATTTTCCTTCTGACATCTCCATGTTCATGAGTAAAATCCGTCTGTGTGTGGTGTGTTGTATTTGACCAAACCTGTTTTATCTATGACTGTTTTTAATCGTCATGTGGGCAAGTTCTCAGGTTTAGAAAATTTGCTGAGGATTTTCAAATCTTGCCATGTGAAACAGGCATTAGAAACTTAAAGTTCAGGAAAGGACCTCTTGGAAACACATGTACTCCTGTTTTAGTAATGCTAGCTATACTAATCTAGCTATGCTAATCTAGCTAAGCTAATCATGCTAATTGCTACTGTAAGATGTCTTTTTGTCTTTGTTTTAAAAGATGATTGCATCTGTTTCTATCTCACTAATTATCTCTGCCAGAGAGTTTGGTATAATTTTACAGAGTTAAGGGTAAAGATGGACACTTTCCAACCTTAAACCCATTGCTGACATAATAATCTACAACATAGTTTATTTATGGTGAATCAGAATCAAATAGTTGTTTAGAAATTTATTTTCTTTTTTTAGAGTCCATCCAACAAATTATTATTTTTTTGAGTGCGCATCTTTTTAATCAACTCTTTTTTGTTGTTGTTAAAAATGAACATATTTAGAACTGCATAAACACTCGACAGGGAATTCATACACAAGTCAACCTAAAAAAACAAGCATGTTAGAGTAAAAATGAATTAAAACTGATTACCCAAGAGTCCACAGTTCTTAAAGTGAGAGTCAGAGACATGTTTCAGGCTTTAAACATGCAAAGCCCTCCGAGCATTATCAAGGCAGCCTCAGCTTTAGAGAGCAGCTGGTGTTAGCAGCGGCTTGAGTTAGCTCTCTAGCTAGCTTCCTGTCTCTCTCTCACACACACTCACACACATTTGTGTCGGTTCTGTCACCGTTTACACTTTTTTTTTTCAAATTGACACCATCCATGTTCTGTCCTGTTCTGACTCGTGTCTGCGTTGAGGGTTATCCACGTTCACGCTCACACACACTCAGCAGGCTGTTAGTATCCTCGGCTATGAGGTGAGGTGGAGAGAGTGAGCGAGTCAGTGAGGCAAAAAGATGAGAGCAAAGAAACAGCTGGAAAGGAGGAGAAGAGTGGCGGGCTGGAGGATGAAGCTGGTCAATGTGTTGAGAGGTTTTTTTTTCCTCAACATTTGTTTCTGAATGTGTGTTTCAGAGTAAAATCTGTGGAGTGTCTTTGTACGATCAGTGCACAGTCTTAGCTCTGGAAGTGTCGGCCATGTTCACACCTCTTGAAGAGTTCCACATTTTGTCGCAAATTTCAACGCGTCTTATTGGGATTTTATGTCAGAGACCAACAGAAAATTGTGAATATGTGTGAAGAGGAATGAAAATAATAGAGAATTTAAAGCTACAGTGTGTAACTTTTACAAAAAATATGACTTTTGTTAAAGCTGTCACTGTGACGTGAGAGTATAGTATGAGACATGAGGTAATCTGTGACAATATCAAGCTCCTCTGCCTTATCTCTGAGCTATTATTGCCGTCTACAGAAATGCATCGCTCCTTACCAAAAACAACTCATCGGAGCCAGGAGGAAGGTCTTAGTGCTGTCAATCAACCTTGTGTATGCAATGCTCAATGTACTAAAGGCGGAGAAACAACTTACTGCTACAGGAAACCCATTTATCTGCCTATCTCAGTGGCCATGCTAACTAGCCTTAGCTTTCATGGCAGACTCTGCTGTCAGGAGGAAGCTGTAGCTTAGCAGAGACTAACGGAGGGAGGGAAAGAGGGAATGAGCAGCACGTATGCAAGAATAATTGACAGCAATATCATCTGCCTCCTGGCTCTGATTGGTTGTTTCTAGTTAGCAGTGGGAAAAGGCAGAGGAGCTCAGATTATCTCTTATATCACTTTCACAACATAATGACAGTTTCAACAAATATGTAAAAAAAAAAAATAAAATAAAATAAAATATATATAAAGATATAAAAGATATGTATCCTTTATATATATATATTTTATAGTCAACACTTTGTAGAGGCTGTTGCAGTGTCTCTACCAGCTCTGCACCTCTAGAAAGTGATTTTTAAAAAATATTTTCTGCTAAATAACTCAAATCTGAGTCAAATTGGACGGAGAGTGAACCTCCACTGTATCAGGTCCTTTGCCGTCTCCATCATGTTTTCTGACAGGAATTTTTGGAAACTATGAATATTTCTTTTCTTCTTCACAAATTTGCACTATTTTCTGTTGGTCTCTCAAATTAAATCTCAATAAAATGCTTTGACGTTTGTGGCTGTAACACGACAAAATCTGCAACCCTTCCAGAGGTGTGAACACTTTTGTGAGGCTCTGTATATGTGTGTCGGGCTGTTTGTTTGTGAAGCTCTCACCACTTTGCAGGGTCTGCTTGCCCCCGGACAGGACCCCACTGGGCAGCATGCCGGTAGGAGTCAGCCCCTTCAGGGTCAGAACGTTCTCACTCTCTTCCCTGCAAAGGACGGATGTGAGCGGGGATGAAAAAAGGAGAAATGGGTTTATCGGGAGAGAAATTCAGAGAACTACACACTTCCTCACACAGCACACCTGCAAAAACACAGTGACAGATTTAAAAAGCAGAACTCCAAAATGTGATTTACAAATAAAAGAATGCAATGACAGCTGACTTCTGCAAAAGATTAGGAAGGAAGAAGCAGCTTATAGACATCTGTACAGACAGATTTACAGATGATTGGATTTTCTATAGGGCTGCGCCAAGAAATCACTCAGATTTTCTTAATTTTGGGAAATTGCTGATCGGCCGATACTTAACACGAGAAATCAATCTACCTTATATACATTCACAAAAGTCTAAATGTCAGCCACTGTTCTTATTTTGCTCTGCCTGAGAGAGAGGCCTGACTGACAGACCCTTCCACCAGGTTCTCGGTTCATAATAGGCACTCCAATGAAACCAGCTTTGCAACTTTGTCACTAAATTTTCCAGACAAAAGGAAATTTGCTGTCAGAATCAACAGACTATTGCTTTTAAAGGTAGGCGTTCGTCCAGACGGTTGCACACCGACATGTTGTGTGACAGAAACTCGACCCACCGTAACACAGAGAACATTTTAGCCATCTTCCCGATGGCCCGGATCTTGTTTTTGATAACCTCTTTCCTCGCTGCGGCTGCACTGGCTGTCAAAGCAACAGAGAAATATAGAGTCTTAATACATCAAAACAAATGTGTTGACACTAAAAAGGTTTCTTCTGTCATCTATGACGTCTCACCGTCATAGATTTCCTCTCCGTCGTTCATGAGTTCATCATCTGAGCAGATACTCAAAACGTTGACCAGCATCTCCGTCACTGTCACAAACAGAGAAACGCGTTTTAATTATTCTGTTTTTGAGATGTCAAATCGATCACAACAAAGTTACACATCAGAAGGAAGGAGTTCCTTTTAGACTTTCAAAGTATTATAAAGTAAATTGTTCTGCTCTAATGTGATCCTCATCACAGCATCATTTGACTGCAGAAAGATTTTGTCAGGATTTATAAGTTCAGGAAGCCAGAAGCACAAAATGGTTTGAGCTTTTTCCTCCTCCGTTGTCCTTACTGTGGCGCCACCATATGGCCGGACTCGACTCCTGCAGGGTAATTACAGATGGTGGGCACAAATGGGTTTTTAAATAGCTAAATTTGTGGCAGTAATAAATAAAAAAAACAAAACAAAAAAAAAACACACAAAACAGAAATACATGGACACCAGTGGTTTACATTCATAACTGTCTGTAACTGGACCCAGAAATTAGAAAATAGATTTAAAAATATAAACAATGTTATGATTGTTTTCTACAATAAAATGCTGTGAATACAGCATGACTTATTGTTTCCCATTCAGACACTGCAAAAATTAAGACAATTAGATGTTTATCTGTGGTTTCAAGGCAGATTTTTGTCTAATTGACAACATAGTAACGTTTCTTGTTGTCATACTTTTTACCAATAACTCAAAGCATAAGTTAAGACTGACACTTTGATCAGTGGATTATATTCTGATTTGTGCCTTTTCTTCATGGCCTCGGTGGAGATAAGCTGACTGAGGGGCAGTTTGAAGATATCTGGCTGATAAAATGTGAATATGTCTGCAGGTAACATCAATATTTATTTAATATTGACAGGTCAGAGATCATGCAGTGAGTCCATCAGGATGGACTGTTTATATTTGGTACCTTTTTCTCCTACAAAAGGCAGCGACCACGTGAAGACGTCCATGAAGTTGGGCAGCCAGTAAGGATGTGGAGAGCAGTTGAACTGACGGATGTTCATCACATTGTTCTCATACTTTAACACCGCCGCTGCACACACACACACACACACACAGATACACACAATTAGGATGCTTGAACAGGACCGAAACTTTACAAGAACGGTTAAAACAGCTGAAACGCTGACTCTGTCTCAAATATGTGTATAAAATAAACCTGTAATAACTTGCTAAAGTGTTCACACTCACATTGCAACAACAAGCCGTTATGTATTTTACTTCTATCCGGCCAGTAGAAGAGAAATTCAGTTTTTTTTTTTTATCAACAGCTGGATTCATGTAAACCAATAAATCATTTTTGGTTTTTGAAGATTTCATTTTTGGAAAATCTTTTTTCACCAATACACTTCTTGGCTTTTCATAATTCAGAGTGATGTCAGCACACCAAGAGCCGCCATTTTGTTTAAAAAGTGTGTTTTACAGATTGTAATTATGTGTGGACTTTGAATTCAGGTCAACTCTACAATGGGAAAGACGCAAGCCAGCCTATGATTTATTCTGAAGCTACAATAAAAGTTGTAATGTTACAACGATAAAGTCGTAATATTAGGAAAATAAAGTAGTAATTTCATGAGAACCCCAACATGAAAACAAACTAAAAATTAAAATGAGAAATGTTGAGCATCTTGTGAGGATGTACTTTGGCATAGGTTTTGTAAATAGTACTTTATAATTAATAGAAACACTTAATCTTTTAACATGTCAGCATCAAATTATAATCAGTAGACGAACTTTGAAACGATCCTGGAAACAGCTGAGTTTATTTAGAAGAAAGAATCACAGACTAAGATGCTTATGTCTGATCCTGATAACTCTACGCCTGTTCTCATTAAAACAACTTTTTCCTTGGAATATTAAAACATCTTTTCATCTTTTTATGCTGATATTGTGACTATATTCTCATACTTAAACAAAAATCCTTAGAGCCTGGCCCATGAGACCCCGCCATACAACTTAGAAGGGGTGACTGAAGTAAAAGTCACTTTTCTGTAACTTGTAATGTCTTTTTAGTAAATAAAAAAAGTGAGGGAAAAACAAAAATCAATTAAAATCTAAAATCAGTTCAGGTATTTAAAAAATTGAGGTTAAGCCCTTTCGCCTACATCTACATTTCAAAAACCACAAATCGTCATCCTGCTTCTACTGGATGACGATTTGTCATCCAGTAGACAAATTATTGGTCTACTAAATAAAATCTCGATAAAATACCTCGAGGTTTGAGATTGTCACATGACAAAAATGTGAGTCATTTTAAGGAGTACAAAAACATTTCCAAACATTTTCTGTGCCGGCGCGTGCGCCAAACCTTTGTTGTTGTAGACGTCCAGGTAGTTGGGCGCAGAGAAGATGGTGATGAGGGAGGGGAAGCCCGTCGTCTGACTCTTCCTGTACATGCGATATCTGCGCAGGGAGAGGCAAACAAGTCGCCCACGTTAGCGCTATTCAAATGAGACGCTGAGCTGCAGATGGAGTCGGACGGGTTGCTTCAGAGGTCTCTGCAACCAGACAGGGACTGGCTCAAAGTGAGACAGGTAGGCAGTAACAGAAAAATAAAAAAGATAGGTGTCGATGCACCGAGCAAAGACTTCAGTGTTTGCAAAAATAACAGCTTAGTCACAATAACAAGCATAGACTTTGAATAAAAGCAGTGTCTATACTTGTATTTCTGTATGTCCGTGGAGTTTGTTGGAGTTTATCTTAGATGTAAAATAAGTTCTTTGTTACTAATAAATATATTGATGTCCATAAAAAAATCTAAATATTTAAATTACATTACTTTTTCATAGATATTAATGGTTTCAAAAAAGTCGTGTTATACTAGCTGGCTGCTGCTCTCAGCTAAATGTCTGATCACGAACAGAAACAGGCAAAATGAAGGTTTATGTTTATGATAAATGTGACTTTGTGTTCTTCTGTTTGCGGTGCAGTTTGAACAAAATGATTCGTTGATGTTGTGAGGATTTTGTCACAGCGCCTCCACGTTAGTACGGAAACTTCATCCCCAGAACCAGAACCAAACATGGAGAAGCAGCATTCAGTGTTGACGAGTCATTAACCTGGAGAACAAACTTCCAGAAAACTGCAAACAGTTGAAACACTGAGTTTTAATTAAGTTTTCAATTAAAGCTAGAAACCAATTTGTTTAGAGTTCTCTTTGATTAATAATTAGAACATTATTCTACATATTTGTGTATTTGCTTGACGATTTCGATGATAGCATTTGACAAAATGTAACGTTTATTGCTTGTTTTTTAATTGGCTACTGTGTTATGTTTGTGTGATGTAAAGCATTCTGAACTGCCTCGTTGCTGAAATGTGCTACACAAATAAACTTGAGAAAAAGGTTCCTGAATGCTGAATGTCAAACTAACAGGTTAAATAATTTTGTAATTTGATGGTAGCTGACTCACCCGGCATCCTGAGCTTCATGCGCTCTGATGATGGACAGCAGGTTGTTGGTCTGTAGGAACTCACACACTGCAGGATAACTGGCACGGAGAAAAAGACGACAGAATTAGGAAGAAACAAGAGAAATATCCTGTAAGCGGCACTGCTATGGCCGCTGTGTGGCCAGCAGGGAGCGTCAGTGAGAGCTCGGCTCATGGCTGCCGCTCCGTGCTGTGCTGTCGGTGCCTGGTTGTTTTACCGCTGCTGTGTCTCCTAAACCTGGAAAACGAGCAGGAAGCGTGTCACAACGCCGCCTCGGCCTCGCCGGGGTCGGCTCCGTCTCTCCTCCTCTCCTCCTCTCCATCCTGCCGCCACCATCGGCTGCTCTCCCTCCCTCGTTTCCCTCGCCGTATCTTAACATCCCTCCATATCTGGCAGGAGTAGCCGGTCGTCATAGCAACAGAACCGTGCAGTCTCCCCGGGGATTGTGGGAAATCTTTTCATGCTGAAGCTGAACTGTGTGCGTGCGCTGGCGAACGTCTCGGTGTGTTTACTCGCATGCTCTTCGCATTGGCCGTGTTTTTTTTTTCTTTCCTTCTCTCTGCTGCAAATCCCTGAAATTACTAAGTGAACCTCGGATGTGATTGAACTCTTCTTTCTGTGTCACATCCCAAAAATAACAGCCCCAAAGTCTACCTGAAACTTATTAGCTTTCTGATTTATAGTTGAGCAGCTCGTCTCACCTGCGCCGCGCGCCCACAAGGCGCCCCAATAATTGAAACGCACCGAGTGAGGCCAGAGAAAGTCATCCATCTCTGTTTCGACTGCCCGCCTTAATGATATTGCTCCTGCAGAGTAGCTTTGTATGTCTGCATATTGCATTTCCCCAGGCTTGTTTGAACATCAGGTTAGTTTATATCTGTGAGCTTCATAAGCGTCGGGACTCGGAGGCTAACGGACTGCTCTCTCTTGTTCAAATGGACTGAAACTGCCAGAGCTCGTAGGGAATATTCAGTTTTATTGGAGGGAGTTTGTGAAAAGGGCTGGTGACTATGATGAGAGCTTTAAAGGGGAAGTGTCATGTATTTTACAGGCATATACTGCCATTTTATAGCACAATCAAGTAACTCTGTTACCGTCAGTTGTTATAAACGTGCTGTATTAAATATGACTTAAAAGAAAAGTTACTTCCTAATTTAACTTGAAATTGAGTCTCTGTCTCTTTAAGAAGCTCCTGCTCTTTCTGAAACTCTGCCTTCAGGAAGTCATCCTAACATGGCTCCTCTGTTAACGCTTTAATGTTTTTACCAGCGTTTCTCTCAGAAGTAGCTCCTATAATGAGCTCAAATGATGCTCAGTTCCAGTTAATTGCTAATTGCAATTAGCAATTTGCTAATTGCTGCTGACTAGTCTGAAGGAGCTGAGTGAGGGAGTCGTGTGGGCGTCATGTTCGAGGCCGATCCAGCCCGACTGGTGAAGTTGCATTATAGGTCGAGCCTGAAGGAAGCCTCGCATATTCTAATTAAGATTTGCTTATTTTCCTTTTAGATCATAATTTGAGTAAGCAGCGTAACTTTGTCAGTTTTTAGCTTTGGTTTAACGTCTTCCAGCTCCATTTTGTCGCTTGTTGTAATCGCAGAGTAGGTCGATCATCTGGAATGTGCATTGGGCTTAGATCATAAATCTAAACTCTACTAACAAGTTGATTTTACCCATGGTGGATAAATTCCACTGAAGATTTTAAAACGCTGCTAAAAGCCTATTCGTATAGACAAGCTTTAAATTTTGATTTGATGTTATGTTTGATGGGCTTTTCCTACAGATTCAATGAAGCACTTTGTGATTTTATCTTTGGAAGGTGCTATACAAATACAATTCTGCTTACTTTTACTAATTGGTATGTTACTAAGTCTGTAGTAGATTGTTTGTTATACCGACTGTTACGACCGGCGTCGTAAGGTTAATTATACTAACATGAGTGTGCAGGTACCTGTCCCTGATTGGCTTTCCAGAAGACGACGGAACGTCTAATTGGCTGCTTCCCGGAGGTGACGAATATAAAGGCTGCTGAAGCGAACTTCCTGGGTTCCATCCTCGACTTATCTCCACCGGCCACACCCCTTTCCTTTGTTTGTCTGTCTGTGTTAGAGTTCTGGAGTGTAGGAGTGAGCTGCCGTTTATGTTTCCTCAGTTTTCTCATGTTTTTCTTAGTTAGGAAGGTAAGTTTTTGTCCTTTGGTTTATTTGCTTTCGATTAGGTAAGTTTCTGTTACTATTTAGGTAGTTTCCTTTTGTTTGTTGTTTTCGGCGATAGCTCACTCTGAAGCCAAATACTCCATTTGTAACATCTTTGTCAAATACATCTTTTTAAAATAAATAATAATCAACTGTTCAACTTTGTGTGTCGGTTGCTGAGATCAGAGGAGGATGGATCCTTCATGTTGCGACCTGGACCCCCTAGACTGGTCGTAACACCGACAGACAAGCTAACACATAATTACCTTTTTAAAATTTCAAATATTTCTTAGAAAAACCTTATGAGGTCCCACCAATGGTAGCTGACACATGGCATTCACAGCTGACTGACAGCATACAGCAACGTGTAGGGGAGGGGGCTCACTACTCGATGCTAGACATATAGAAGAAAAGAGCACTTTTCTTTGTTCACTATTAAAAGAAGGTCATGTTTTGACAAAAGACATTCTCCGAAGCCTTTATTTTTGAATGTTGCTTGTGTTGATGTAAGACCTGGCTGTGTGTTTTTGTACCTGTAGAAGTAGGAGCATCCTCTGACCGTGTTGTGGCCAAAATACTCCTGGGTCTTCTCGTTGCCAAAGTCTTCCAGGGGGTCCGACCACAGCAGGTCGCACATGGGCCCAAACGCTGGGGGCTCCTTGAATCGGTCCAACTGGGACACGGACACACACACGTAAGCGTACAGAGACACAAATTCTCACCATGAATGTTAAAATAAAAACCTCAGAAACATGAGCTGAAAAATGCTGTTTGTGCGCCACAGTCACATAACCGCAACCGAGCACATAGAGTATAAATCAGAGCGGAACGAGGGCAGAAAACACGGGGAAAAAAATAAAAATAAAATAAACACACAAACACACACTGTCAAGAGCGGAGCATCTCCATGGCAACCCTCACCGCACAGGAGGGAGAAGATGTCACACCAGCAGATTCACCATGGAAACACTGCCATTAGAGGAGGAAGTGTGTGTTTCTTTGTATGCCGTGGCTTCTGGGAACTGTACATGTTCCTGCTACGGTTTCTCTCCTCGCTCCAGTGTTATCCAATGATTCTGTTTATTGTTTTAAGGCATTCATAAAAAAAAGTTGCTGCAGGTTTGTGGCTGCCTGCAGGTGTGCTTTCATTGAGCTCATCATGTTCCATTAACCCTGATAGTAGCGTCCGTGTGGGTTTTGCACCGAGAGCGATCAGGGAGCGCCGAGCCATGAAGGGCAGGAAACCTGAGAGCTGTTGGCATGTTGACTCCTCAGAGTCGGGCTTCTGACTGCACACTGTCAGCCAGCTGCAGCGCCGGTCATCCACATATTAACAACGCACGTAGGTCAGCCAGTTTCATAACCTGTTTGAAAATTTAGCTGAAGGATGAATTTTTACTCATTTTAAAGAAACCAGGAATTTATCTGTTTCTTAATCTGTGTAAGATTTGGCATTAATAAAATGATTTAACAATCAAGAATTATGCTTATCGTTAATCAAACCAATCTTTACCCTGAAACATCCAATAATTAAAAATTAACACCAACAACACTATAAACAATGTTTCTTAGAACCAACTTTTAAAAATGTACTCTAATTTGTTACAGCTAATTTTATTTTATTTTTTTTTAACGTTGGTTCAAAGAAACATTTTTTTTCCAGAGTAAAGAGAAATGATAAAAGACTCTCAGAAAATAGTGAAAAAGGAGGATTTTTTAAATTTTATTTTTAAAAATGACATGTTAAAAATTAGAATCTTTTCCATGATCTTAAAAAAAACGAAGACAGGAAAATGAGAATGTTGATTGCAGCAATCAAATCCTCCTTTTTACTGCTGGCCAGCTAAATGTAAATATGGCAAGGGTATGAATAATTCTGAGCTTGACTATCTAGCTATCCGATTGATCTGATCTGTTAATATGAAGTGTAAAGAAAAGAATAAAAACACATTTTTGTTATTTATGTACTTACGAAAGTAAAAATAAAATCCTAAAACATGGCTGTATGGATTGACATACAGCCATGTTTTACAATACATGTTTTAAATATTAGTTATGGCTTTTTAAAAATATTTAATATTGCACCAGGTGGTCTTCCAGCAAAACAAAAGTTAAGCATGTGTTCAACTCTCCATTCAGTCACATGCAGAATTATTTCAAAGCTGAATCTCTTCAGGTCTTCATATTTGAATAAAGAAGTGACATAAAGAGGGAGAACTGTCTACGTATTTTCCAGGATATGTCCTCTATGCTTTAATAAGTGCTGCAGTAACACATTGCTTTATGTGTTACTGCAGTGGAACACATAAAGCGATTTCTGGTGCATCGTATTTAACTAAACATGATCAAACTATTGAACAAATTTAACTCGCAGAATTTCATCGATTACAACATTCTGAGAGATCTGGTTCAGGATGTTAATTCTACATACTGTGTGTGTGTGTGTGTGTGTGTGTGTGTGTGTGTGTGTGTGTGTGTGTGTGTGTGTTTGGTTTCTGTTGTACCTTCTTAATGTCGTCCAGTGTGTGGATTTCGGGCGAAAGCCCCCCATGGACACAGAGAAACTGCTGGTTCATCAGCGCCGCCAGGGGAAGGCAGTCGAACGCCTCCATGCAGGAATCGTACACCTGTTCTGAGTACTTGATCTTACCTGGAGGTCAGAGGAGTAGAGGGACGTTTCAGCATTCGGGACAAACACACACTTGTTCGCACGTTGATAGACAACGCTTCCAACAGCCAACACACTAACAAATCTACACCGCTTTTACTCTCTGACTAAATGGTCATTTCTGGCAGAAGTCTGTGCGGCTGTTCTCAGTGTATATGTATTCATATAGCTGGCATAACAGTTAGCTAATATCATAACAATGTGTCACAAAATTATTTGCACTTCTTAAACCTTTTCAAATACACAAATACTCTTAAGTAGTGTGTTGCTGTTATGTATGATGGATGTAATAGAGGGGTAACAACAATTATTTGAAAATATGCAGTTCATCCATTTTCCTACAATAGTCATCTGTTTAGTAAATAGTCTAATTTAAGACGCAAAATCAGAACAAAATGGAAGATTTTCACTTCTTTCAATGGCCCAGTCAAAGTCCAGAGCAACATTAAAATTTTTTTTAGATTTTGTTTTTACAAACCCCTTAATTTTGTCCTTCCACTAAAAATTCACACTGTACTTTGTGCTTTTTCCTCAAATAAAATCCCAAGTGAAAACACATTGAAGACTGGGGTTGTAATGTTAACATTTGTGGACTATGAATACTTTTACAACGCTTTGTATAAATTCAAACTCGCTACAGAAAAAACATTTCTGGCACAAATAAAAGCTTGAAGCAGCAGGGGGAAAAAACACACTTCTCCACACAGTGTCTTTCTAAGAATATTTTACAAGAGGCTGTAACAAACTAATTGACACAAAAAGGGATTAAAACACAGCCGAAAATAGATCAGAGAACGCAGATAAGTAAAGATAAAGACGGCGGATTTTTAAAGAAGGGAGGCCACAAAGGGAGGAAACTAATTTCAAACAGAGGAGAGATGGAAGCAGGAACGGTGACGGAAAAGGGAAGGAAAACGTTAATATTTCAGGGTACCAATAGCCGGTGTTCTTCAGCGAGGAGCGTGTTTGTCATCCTCTCCATCTGCCTGGTGTAGAGCAAGAGCTCGTTATTGCCAGTCCACCAGTTGTCAGCTCCTTCCACGCACTCAAACATTTATGAAGACATACGCGCGCGCGCAGCCATAGCGCTTGCGCTTGCGCACACACACAAACACGCGCGCTCACACACATAGCAGATGGTAATTGAGGGCAACCACTATTCGCCACGAGCACCAGGGGAAATTAGCTTCCTCGTCCCTTGGCCAATCAGACACAGAGGAGCAAGTCCCTGAGCCAATCATTAAGGGCAAAATTAATTCGCCGCTAATCACCCACACTCGGACAGGATGCCGAAACATGGCGGCGGCGGCGGAGGCCGACACATACGCGGAGAGAGGAAAAGAATGAGGAGGGATGGATGGAGAGAGACGGGGTAGTGTGGGGAAGGAGGGACACAAATTCCCAACAGCAGGAGCAGAAAGAGAGGAAAAGTTGAGATGAGGAGGAGAGGAGATTCAACTGGAAGTAGAAAATATCCGGATGATCATGTGTGGATTAACTGATCAAATAAATTATCAGCTAATCCAGTGTGAAATGTTTTGAGCATGAGTGTTTAAGCCTTTCCACAAGTATTTAATTGGATGTAAGTCTGGACTTTGACTGGGCCATTCTAACATGAGATGCTGCTTTGTCCTTAACCATTCCAGTGGACCTGAGGATATGAGTTTAGGATTGATGTCCTGCTAAAATGTGAACATCTGCCTCTAGCAGTTTTTCTTCCATTGCTGTCCTGTATTTAGCTCCGTCCATCCTTGTTCCTGTTAACCCTGACCAGCTTCCCCACAATTTGATTTTGTCATGTAGGTGCAAAAAAGAGTGATGTCCTTCCTTCAAATGTTTGCTGTGTCCCTTTCATGGCCTGTGGCTTCAGCCCTACCTCCTCCAAACCTCATCTGTACCTTCTTCAACCCCAACTCTACCAACTCTATCTTCTCCTACCCTTATCTCTAACTACTTCATCCCTCATTTCTACTTTCTTTGTTCCACATCTCTACCTTCCTCATCCTTAGCACTACCTCATATTCCTGTCACCTTCATCCCTCATTTGTGGATCCATAATTTTTCATTCCTTATCCTTTCTCCCTCAAATTTACTTCTTTCATCCATCATTTCTGCCACATTCTTCATCCCTGCTTCTTTTATTCCTCATCCCTACTCCTTTTATCCGTCATCCATAGTTACTTCTCCCTCGATAGTATTTGATTGGTCCTCTTTTGCCCTCACTTCATCTAAAATTCATTTGTCGTATTCTCTTAAAACACCAACAGTTCCCTGAAACCGTGACTGCTGTGGCGTCGTCCTCACTAGTGAAGAACATGCTGACTTCTTTTCTCTTAGGCATATGTATTGTCTACATATGCATTAATAAAACAGTTCCCAGCATTCTTGTTGGAAAAAGACAGAAAAAAAAGCAAACATCTAAAATAACTTAAGCCTTGCATGCCAGAGGGACGATGTCACACAGACGGAAAGAGCATGTCATATCAGGAGGGCAAAGAGTGACAAAACTCACATTCTTGTTTGAAGGTAAAATATTCTGTCAGATGTCTACATTCATGGTTTCCTCGTAGAAGAAAGAGCGTCTTTGGGTAGAGGATTTTCAGTGACCACAGGTAGAGCACACACTGAAAGGTTCAGGAGAGAAAAGACAGACATTAGAAGTATGACGGCTCTGCAGCCACAGCCACCTTTACCTTTAACAAAAGATGCAACAGTGATGGGTGAGTCAGACTGTGG